GGGTAAAATCTTTTTTTTTTCTTTATTCATTTATTTTTTTGTTCGAAAATCAACTTCTTCTACGTTGCTCATCCTATAACTTAGAGTATGCATCTTTGGACCGAGAGGCCGATAGGTAAATAAACCTCGCACAAATAATGGAGCTACGTTATTTTCTGCCTTTAAAAGCACACACAACCCACAATTCCTCTATTCGCTCCGACGAAGGGCTAACGCTCGAAACGTCAGCTTTTGTAATCGTTACGGTGGCCAATTTACCATTTGATTGATTCGCGATGACACTGTCAGGGCAAATAAGACGCCTTTCATTGGGATTTAAGATTAAGTTCGCGCGGGGGAGGGGGAAAGGGATCCATAGAATTTTGGGTAACAATAGAATTTACCAAACCCCCATAAGGCTCTGTAGTTTCCTAATGAGTGATCTCCCTTATTAGGAGTTAATTTTCTTTGTAATTATCTAATAAGACATACATTTCGTTTAACACCAGACACACGAACACAGTGCGTATCTATTTTGCAGATTGCTACTATCTGAACAAAACGCATGTGAAGAGCAATGGTTCTGGCCGAAAAATCTTTTGTCACGCCTCGCGCTCGTTGCCTTTGTCGTTCTGATCCGTTCAAGGTCCCTAACAACAAACACTATTAGTGCCACAAGTACTTTTTAAAAATGATAATACTTTGGACAAGTGGGGTTACCCGAGAAGGGGGAGCAGTCGATCATGAATTTCTTTTGATCTCTTCCACGATACCAGTTGAAAAATGCCTGCTCGAGTGTGATGTTATCTATCGCAATATGCGTCCAATAATCGTTCATGACGCACTGTGTGTGAGAAAGACAAGCATTTGCGAAGAGTGAGGCAGTTTTGGAGGACAAAACGTTTTTCAAAGCATGAAGTGTCTTAGTTCGAAACTCCATAATAAAATGCATTTCGGTCGAGTTGCACTTCTTTACATTAAATACGCAAAGCATTTCGGAAAAATAATACAATTGCCATATATCGTACAAGGGATTTACTAAAAACATCGCAGAATTGACGAAAGGAATAGAATATTGAGGAAAATAACAGCGCCATTTATCATGCGACCCTTGCGCGCGAAGGCAAGCTCTACTTAAACAATTTGAAGCATTATGCAAAGAGTACATCTGCTGAAACATCAATCGTGCCATTGCAGACCCATTCAACGCGCGTTCGTCCAAGATAAAACCTGCATCAGGAAGCACTCGAAAAGACGCGTTTGTCGTGCGTCGTAAACGCGACCCGATGTAGTCGGCGTGTATAATGGCTGCAAGGGCTCCAGCCGATCTCCCACCGACGATTACATCGGAAGCAATGTCGAGACCTCTTCGGAGCAACTCGTCCAAGAGAGCATCAAGTATTCGGTGACCTCGGAAATAGAGAAGTTTGTCTTTATATTTCAATGGCTTATCGCGATTCCCAGTGAAAGACCCACCATCGCAGTATGCCACAAAGATCGAGTTCCAGTTGTAAAAATTGGGATTGAATTTAGCTTGGTTAGAAAGGAGTCCCTCCAGGAGAATAGTTTTGCAGAATAATTTGGACGAGCCAAGCGCCGTATCACTTCTTTCATAACATCCCTCGATACGGTAGCACCATTCGCCCCCCTGAAAGTAAACAATCCACTTTGATTTTCCCGAGCCACTTCCTCTGCGAAAATAAAATCCGGGGGGGCTTCCGTCAAGGCAAACGGCACCACTTTCGCGGCCATTGGTTATTATGTGTAGTTTATGTGCCCTCGCGTCTTTCGCGTCATCTGTTCTGCTAGAATCACTTGTACGGAAATTCTGTTGCGACAAATTTTGCTTTACCCTACCTGTTGCTGTTGTTGAAAGGTTAATGTAGTTTGCGTTGGGGTTACTTCTCTGTTTATTTTCGCTTTGATATTTGTTGATGATACCCTTGTCACGGTGGCGGACATCTGTTATCGGCCCCTCATTATCAGCCTCATCGAGTCGCCGCCGGAAATCCCAGTTCAAAGAAAGAGAAGGTTTGTTAGCTGAGGATGACTTAAGAGAAAATGAAAAGACGATCAAAGAAATAGGTAGAAGCCACATCTTTCTGATATATGTACCAGTTAACCTGATAGAAGTAATTAAGAGGCAAGACAAATCAACGAACCCGCTGTCACAACGGGTAACATGAAATAAGAGAAAATAAAATGCCTGATATAATCTCGTGCATTAAACATTTATTTGAAGAATCCGTTAATAAAGGTGGTTAAACTCTGCCAGTTTTAAATGTTTAAAAAAAACGCTGTACATCGATAACAAGTGGGGGAAAAAGAAAAAAAATTCACATTTGCCTTAGAAGCTTCCTGTCTCTGAGCCCAATATTAATTTTCTGAACAATATATGAGCCGTCGCGGACACTATCAGCTGATATACCACCTGCCTGAAGGGGCTAATTTTGCCAAATACCTTTACAGTACTACATACTTACCTATCTACGCCGCAGTGAAGTAATATCCATTACTCTCATTGATTCTGAAGACCGCACGTGTTGAAAACTACGAAAAGACAATCTGAATAACTGGGGTTCCAGCATATAAACTTAATTCTGTGAATATTTACCTGTTTCAGTGCTAGCAACAAGAGACGGTAACCTGAGGGAGCCGTCAAAAAACAAATGACTAATACTGGAAACACCAGTCACCACCGCATTCCTTGATTTAACCAGCAGTTTCAATATGAAAGTGGGTGCTGCTGTCGTCAGAGCTTGAGGGAATTCCATAAGTAGGACTGGATCGATTTCCTATTCAAATTCACGACTCATACACAAGAGTGGGTGTGCAGCTCGAACTAGGAGCCCGAGTATTTAATGCCGTCCGACAAAGTTACACATTCATTACCTCTGGGGCTAAAACGTTTTTGTGCCGCCGCCTGATACGAAAACTCTAAAATCCCAATGGGAAAAATGGGAACGTATTCCCTATCCAAATGCAGTCGCACCGACCTCTGGGGGTTAGAGGTAAAACAGCTTAAAAACATGCAAGCTAAAATCTGACGTAAAACTAGAAAAGTTCGAGAGCTGAGATGAATACATTACAAATGTCAAACCTTAAATGATACGCTCTACAACAAAAGGCTCACTTAACGCCATAGCGGCCCGCGTGCTAACACACCGTGAATAGGAAATTATTTACATTCTGTCACTGCCACTTACAGTTTAGTTCCGCCGAATATATTTACATATCATAGCACCTCCATTCGCGAATCGGCAAAAATTGCTCTCATAATAGAGCAGCCAAACATATAAATATCTCTTGTCTTCTTCCTCGAGAGTTATCACCAAACCGTTCATGACCTTGATGGATACTTCCACAAGCAATTAAAGACATCTATATTGAAAACTCAGCTCGTTTAACGTGTCCTTGATTTCTAGCCGACCAGGACGGCTGTACACAGCTATTGCTCGAAATCGATCGATATTTCTACTCGCATTTTACGTGATGTCATCACAAGCACTCTGGATATGACTGCGCATGTCTCCGATATTACATCCGACAAATTTTGGCTTTTTCTCGCTATTGTAAAGAATAGGCTGCTGCCTCGCTACGGCTCGCCAGCAAATATTTTCCTTGTAAACTGCGATCTTATGTACTATTTCGAAAACGAATGCGTCAAACGTGAAAACTGGTAGAAGCACGTGGCCGCAAGCCGAGTGCTTTTAATGTTTTCAAGTGTTTGGAATCCCTGATAAAACCCGATGCACGAGTTTTTGAAATAGCGCCTCAATCGCCCCTCAAGAATAGAAGAAAACGGAAATATTCACGAATTTTTCACAAGTTGTCTGCAAGTCTCTTGTTGTTATTCAACTGAAGAAATGAGTTCACTTGAGTCTGATGCTTTATCAAACTCAAGAGTTTGATATTATATGAAACTCATAGATGGCGCGTCATTCTACTGGATTACCGAGGTTTGTTTGAAACCACAGGCACGTGACGAAATCGGCGTATCTTGGTTAGATGATCACCTCATGATTAATGAATTCGAGAAAAACATTTCCAGCCCTTTGTAAAGCCGTAGCAACACACTTGACAAGATAAGATAATTTTTCACGTTGGATATCCTCCAAGCATCCAGACGATAAACGATGGACAGTTCCTTACCAGGAATGGACAAACGTGGATGAACTCACAAAAAGGGAAAGTTTAAAGATTTGCAAGCCGCAGGGTAAAAGTCTTTCGGCGGTTTGAAAGCGTAAAACAATACAAAGACTTGACATACACAAGACTGTGAAATACAGTAAGATTGTGGAGCAATATTTGATAGTGTAATCTGATCGTCTGGGTGAAGATGGTTCTGAGATGGACTGTTGTCATGAATCGACCACAAGTGCTTGAGTGGTAATATAATGAAGTAATCCTAATTAGGGTAACAGTTTTTTTTTCAATCTTTTCCAGAAAATGTTCGCTAAAAATAAGGTTTCTCACTCCAGTAATGTTACTAAAACCGATTTATGCCCCAAGTTATTTTTCCTTTCTTTTCTAAACCAGTTGACAACAAACTTCACTAAACCAGTTGACAACAAACCATTCAAACGCTGTTTTAATTTTAAGATCTCTTTAACATTAACCTTCAGCAAATTTGACGATTTCATTCTTTCTTCCCAAGAACAAAGTTATCCATCAATCATGTCGTTTCTACTAGTGTTACAGAACATTGATATCCCCAAAACGTACCAGGCAACACACTGACCTAGAAACCGTCTGCGTGACATGACGCTTTTTCACGTCACGCAAGCGTAGGGCGACTGTTGAACGAAACGATAGTAAGGGACGATTTAAATTTCTCCTGACAGTCCCAATTTTTGATGGTAGTTAAAGTTAAGACTTCTTATTCAAATCATTGACAGAAACACCTCATTCCTGACGGAAAAATTAAAACCATTTATATCTTTGAGGTTCTCACACATTTAGCGAAAGGAATTGCAAACAATCTGTTCCGAAAATTTTTGCTTGCCAGTGTAGCATTTCTTTCTAACAGCTTACCCCCACAGTACACCGCACAGTACCAAGAAATGGCCTGCGTGACACGATGATTTTTACAGTATCAAGAAATGAGCTGCGTGCCACGATGTTTTTTCCAAAATCAGTCAGGCCAAGTGAGACTGCTGAACGTCACGCAACGTAATTCTAACTCGATTAAATTTTAGAACCATGTCTTTACCAGTGAAGCTTCTTGGAGCTACCAGCTCTCCACCAAGACGCACCATAAGCTGTGCGACATGTTGGACGAAACGCAACGAAATATCATCCTGGTAGCCCAATGATCTTATGGGGATTGAATTTAATACTTGCTTCAATATTCCAGGGATTGTTGACTGTGTGTTCGGTTTCTTTTGCAAACCCCTTTTCGATCAGCACCTTATTAATGTGAATTTCTTCACCCTCCGTGTCGAACAGGTCGACATAAATAGTCTGATTCCACGCCCTGTGAGACAGTAAAAAAACAGAAAAAAAAAAAAATCGGTAAGTCAACCCCTTCACTCCCAGGTAAAACTGAAGTGTATCTTTTCCTTGTCCCATCAATACACTCTCCCGCTAACAGATGACGAAAATGAGCAAACTGTCAGCCAATGGGTTCTATCTTGATATGGCACCAAATTCTCTCAAGAACTTTACAAAGAAGCAAACAAAAGATGGAGGAATATCACTTAATTGATCGACGAGTCACATACCTGCGCACATCCTATTCAGGGACATAACTACGGGAGGTCCTGATCCTTGCCCC